CAAAGGTGTAGCAGCAGATTCAAACATTTTTTTAAGATGTAATAAATTTTTTTGGAGTTAAAAATAGGGAGGGGAGTCAGGTTTTAATGACGTCTTTTTCCAGGGGGTTTAGGAAAAAAAGGACAACCGGTGACAAAAGGGGGGGGGGGGAGGGGATCAAAAATTGGCTAAAAAATGGTGACGTCCTTTATGGATGGCCCCTTAGTTTTATTAACAAAAAATAAATTTCCAACTTTGCGCTCTTTGTACGCAACAACCATCATATCAATCATCAACAACAATCAACATTTACTCTTTTTTAGAGATTTAAAACAAATTGGAAAAATTCTTTCTATTTTTTTCAAACTTTAGAATTTATACACCTTGCAATATTAAACAAACAATTTTGCTCATTTTACTAAAGATTAAGCTGGAGATTTTATATCAATCTTTAAGTAAAAAAATGCGGTCTTTTTGTTGTGGCTTGTGTTCTTTACTATTAAGTATGTCAAGAAAACACGATAAGAATTGACAGTCATTGTCATAAAACTATACTTTGATATTTTTTTCAAAAGTTAGTTTCAAGAGTTGGAAAATAAGTTTCAAGTCTTTTTCAATTAAAAATCTGTAGGAATTAATTGTTTTGCTAGAAACAGTTAAAAATAAAAAATTTTAAGCTGTCCAGTAATTTACAATTTAAAATTTTCTAAAAATTAAATTATAAAATAGAAAAATCAATTTTTTTTTCTAAAAGAAACTGAATTTGCAATAATTGATGTTGTCAATAATATAAAATCAGATGGTAAATGTTTTTCCATTTTGGCTTAATACATGTATTCCACATAATACTTCTATAGTTTCTTTGTAAAAAGTTACATTTTCATTATAAACTTTGTGATTTATCATGCTAAAAGCCATTGGCTAAAGCTCGTTAAACTATGGGTCGCGACCCAAAGAGGTTGCCTAACTTTGTATAATTGTGTATTTTATCATAAGTATGTATATTGTTACCTTACCAATAAATAATCATAAAATGTTTAATATTTTAATTTTATATTTATCTTTGAGTCACGAAAAAAAAATCATAAATCGGGTTGTGAATTAAACAAATTTATCAAGCCTTGTCATAGCAGGATTTTGTGATGTCATTATGGTAAACCATTTCCCAATGGGCACACGGACGTCCATAGTACGTCCAAGGATGTCCAAAATGTTCCACTCGGACGTTGTAGTCTTGATATAAGAAATGAAGTTTTTTTTTCTCCACAAGACCTAAATTCAATATACATGTGTTTAGGGATTTAATTGCAATTTTACGAAATTTTATGCTAAAATTCTGTTTCACTTTTTGAACTTTTTTTTTTAGATAACGTCAGATAAACTTTTTTTAAAGGTGTTTCTTTTTAGAAACATTTAGATTATTTTTGAAAAAAAGAATAGTTAAACTTCAATTTTATATAACAGTGTTTTATATAACAAAGTGTTATAACGTTTATTTTGCTTGATTTTGTATTGAGTTTATTGATTTTTAAAATTAAGTTGTTATTCTCACATCGAATTATTGTTGAAGATATGCTCAGATAGTTTTCAAACCTATCCAGAGTTTTTGATGCAACTTTCCTAATGTAATCACCAAATTTCATAGAAAATAAAAATGTAGCAGAAAGCCTAAAAAGTATAGCTCTTTTGGTACCTAATTTTTGTTTTACAGAATTCGATAACGGTGGTATGGGGAGGACCTCTATAAGTTATAGAGGTTCTCCCCATACCACCGTTATCGAATTCTGAAAAACAAAAATTAGGTACCAAAGAGCTATACTTTTTAGGCTTTCTGCTACATTTTTATTTTCTATGAAATTTGGTACATTAAATATTAAATAAAAAAAAGTTATAGTATAACTTTTTTTTATTTAATATTTTATTTAGATATTTGTTGATTTTTATTTTTAATATGAAGTTTAATATAAAAAAATCTATAATTTTATATTTAGATTTAAATATAATTTCATATTTAACTTTAAACTAAATTGTAAATTAATATTTGTATTACATACAAATATCATACTATATTTGCATACGAATATAATAAAATGTTTTGTTTCGACTCTTTTATAAATATTTTATATATTAGTGTTTTTTTTACTACTGGTAAATTTTCATATAACATTTAAAATGATTTTAGATTACATTAAAGTTTAATATTTTGTTTTTTTTTGACCTTGGATAAAAAAATATATATATATAGACTGAGGATATTGTTTTTAATTATGTAAGGGCCGACAATACAGGGGACCCCACTTTTTTGTAAAGAACCTTTTTTTTTTTTTTAAAAAGTAAAAAAATTCTAAATTTTTTTTAAGACGACTTTTTTTAAGAATTGACAGTTGTGTCCCTCCCCCCCCCCCCCCCCACTTTGAGACCCGTGTTGTCGGCCCTGTATGTTGAAGGTATATAGTCAGTAAAAAACATTTTGAAAACAATTCCAGCTTGTAAATATATATCTCAGCTGCAATGTTTTCTAGAATATTAATTTTTTTTGGGAGTACTTACACGCTCGCGGAAAGTGTGGAGCTTTCCTTCACACCGGTGTGTAGCTATAACTCCTAGACACAGGTGTGGAGTTATTTTGCACACTTTTGTGGAAACTAACTTTTTCTAACTCAACTTCTGCACAGAAGTGTGTAGTTATTTCCACAAAAATGCGCAAAATAACTCCACACGTGTGTCTAGGAGTTACAGTTACACACCGGTGTGGAAAAAAACTCCACACTTTCCACGAGTGTTTTGAACTTGTTTTTAAAATAATTCAATAATACTGAGTCTTATTGTTGTTTTTTTCATATTTTGGTCAAAATTCAAACTATATCAACATCTCCACTTTGTTCAATGTTTTTAAGCCTATCAAAGATTTGGGCTTGCGAATCTTGAACAAGTTGAAAGTTTTTCTACAAATTTGTATGTAAAGCATATTGAAATTCTCAACAAAAAATTAAATCGAAAAATAGATACATAGATACATTCATGTATCAACAAGATAAATGAATGTAATAACATTAAAAAATATTTTTATTTAAAGTAATATTTTTTTTAGCAGTTTTATAATCATGGTTCAATAGTGGAGTGGCTTAAATTGCTTTGGCATTTAAGCCACACAATTAATAATAGCCTTACTGTTTCATATCTTAATGAAAATGATATTGAAAATATTTATAAATAATTTTTTTTTCATGCAAATAAAAAAAACAAAAAAACTTTTATTTGGATTTCAAGTGAAATTGATAAAAAAAAAACAGTGACAGAAATGGAAGAACTTGTATTAAGGCTTGGTTTAATGAGTTTAGTTGTTTATTTTATGATCAATCACTGAAAGCTGTCTTTTGTAAAACCTGTAAAAAGTACAATTCATGTTTTGGTGGAGTGTTCAAGCATGGAAAGGAAAGAATTTAGAACATGGAGCAAATCAGCAGCAGCACTAGAAAATCACGCGGACGCCAGTGTTCATAAAGCTGCAAGTGCTCTAAAGATTGAAAAAGAAAATATAAAGTTTACAACAATTAATGCTCAAAATGACTAATTAAAGGTTTATTATCTCAGCTTTTATCAGTAAAAACACTTTTTGAACTGCAAAGCACTTTTAAATTTTTTACTATTCTAGAGAATCTATCGAAGCAGTTACAAGAAATTAATCTAACAGGTGATGTCGCAGTATTCTACATTCGAAATGCGTCTCAGAAATTTACAGGAAGGGAAATTAATAGAATTTTATAGGCAACAAAAAAAAATAACAACCTGGAGTTAAGCAAGACTATGAGTCTAAAACCAAAGTTGCGAAGAGACAAAGAGTAATACCTAAAACATTACGCGATGTAGTAATTAATGACAAGTTTACATTGAGCGTGCAATGGCTGATCCTGTCAGAGCAAAAACAAAGGAAATCTTATTTTGAAGAAATTGATGCTATTCAAAACAGTTTAAGTGAGAGATTTAAACAGGATGAATTAACAGCTGTGAAAAATATAGAAAAAGTTTTGACTTCATCGGTGAATAAACAAGATTCCCCACCCTTTTTATTCGGAATGCCATTTTTTAATGGTGTCGACATCTTGGAATTAAAAGTTGAGTTGAAGGGGCTACCAATAATTATTAACCTGTACAATCCTATTGCATAAATCAAAATAGAGAGTGTTTCCAGAGGGGACACAATTCCAGATATTTTCAATGCCATACCAGCTGCAAAAGTCGCCAATAAACAAACACTAATTAATGAAGCTTTACTACACTATGTCTCTATTTACACCATCATGTGAAAGAAGCTTTAGTGTAATGAGGAGAGTAAAATCATGGGTTAGGTCACAAACTGGAGGCAATCGCTTAAACAACGTTATGTTTTCTCAGATACATAAAAAACAAATCGACAAAATTAACATTAAAAAAATTGCCAAATAATTCGTTGAAAATGAATGACATTATAATGAATTATTTCAGCAAATACACTTGAAATCGTTCTAGCACCTTGTAAAGCTAAGAATGTCATAGGATGAAATGTACTATTGACATCTAGAAAGTAACTAAGAAACAGTTGATTTATTTAGTAGATTGTTTAATAGCATGATATAATCTTTAGTATTAATTGCACTGTACACGCGATTCTTAATACAGTCGACTCTCGATATCTCAAATACTTGATATCTCGAACTTTTGAGTATCTCGAACTTTTTTAGCGGTCCCATGGACATAACGTACTAGTTTAGGCTAAAATCCTCTCGATATCTCGAACCTTAATATCTCGAACTTTATAGTATCTCGAACAATATTTTCGGTCCACAGCAATTTTCTCTCGTTATCTCGAACTTTTCAACATTTTTTTTTTTCAAAAATGTTTTAATAAAATTTAATTTTTTTTAAATTCTAATTTCCGAAAGAAAAAAAAATTTACTTCGATTTTTAAATTCGATTTTTTTTAAGAATCGAATTTCTGAAAAGTTTTAATATATTAATTTATTCTTTTTGTCAAACGCAACAACATGCCGCTCGTTAAACGAAAACTCATGAACAAATCTATAATAGAAAAATGCAAGGCATTAAAAGACCTAGAGACAGGGATGTCTAACAAAGAGGTTGCCAAAAAGTTTGGAGTCCCAAAGAACACATTATCAACCTGGATTAAAATTAAAGCCAAGTTATTAACCTCACTGGAAAAAAATGGCACAAAATCTAAACGGAAGAAACTTCGTAGTGGTAATTTCAAAAATGTAGACAAGGCCATATACACGTAGTTCGTTCGAACAAGAAGTCAACAAGTACCAATTGATGGTACCATACTAAAAAAAAGGCACTAAAATTCGCAGAAGCATTAGGAGAGTTCGATTTTAAAGCATCTGATTGTTGGTTTCATAATTGGAAAGAAAGGTCAGTTAAATTTTGTCAAATCTTGTTCAATTTTAATATAAACAAATAACATGTATCTGTATATTTAATTTATTTAATTTTTTAAACGTGTAATTAAAATTCAATTATTGTGTTCCTATTTTTAGGAACGGCATCAGCTTTAAAATAATCTCAGGCGAAAGTGCCGCCGTGACGAATAATATGACTGCTTCGTGAAACTATATATATAACGAAACTACACTTTCAACATTGCTTTTGAATTAAAAACTGGAAAACATTTTCAAGGCCGATGAGTTTGGACTATTTTACCAGTGCCTACCAAACAAAATATACCATTTATCACGAGAAAAATGTTTTGGGGGAAAAATAGTAAAGTCAGACTAACAGGCATAGCAGCAGGGAGTGCAACGGGAGAAAAATTACCTATGTTTGTTATTGGAAAATCTAAAAACCCACGGTGTTTTAAGCACATTAAACAACTTCCTTGCACATATAAAAATCAGCCAAAAAGTTGGATGAACGGAGACCTTTTTACACAATGGGTAATGAAACTTGACTCATTTTTTCGTGCTCAAGACAGGAAAGTAGCACTCCTGGTGGATAACTGTTCTGCCCACCCACATTGAAGGGCTAAACAACATCAACCTAATATTTTCCCCCCTAACACCACATCTGTCCTTCAGCCCATGGATCAAGGCTTAATACGAAGTCTATTATCGTCACAAAATTGTGCGTTTGTGTATCAAGGCTGTCGATAATAACGAACCCATGCCAAAAATTTCTATACTTCAAGCAATGAAAGATCTTGTTTCTTCGTGGAATGCTGTGTCGAAGGAGACTGTCATCAACTGCTTTAAAAAAGCTGGTATCAGCAAAAACAACAAAAGTATTGAAGAAGCTGATGATGATCATGCTTTTAAATTTTTGACAGAAGAACTTAACCGTTTGCGAGAGTTAGACCATCGTGCCGTCCAAGAAAATCTTTCAGCGGAATCTTACATTGGTTTAGATTGCAATGTAGTAAACACCGGTTCACTTGCTACTGATGCTGAAATCATTGCTCAGATTTTAGACCCTAATTTTGAATCTATAATCTATAGTTCTCATATTTTCATATTTTTTGTGTATTTTTTGGAGAATGGTAGGATTAATTAAAGAGTTAATTTATATTAGACATTATATATAGTAAAACATTGTGTTGATATTTTGGCAAGTGCCCTTGTGTTTTGGTTTGCCACCCCTGCTTTAGGTCCTTCCGGCGTGCCTGATTTATATACATATATATTTATATATATATATATATATATTTATACATAAATATATTTATACATAAATATATATATATATATAATATATATATATATATATATATATATATATATATATATATATATATATATATATATATATATATATATATATATATATATATACATATATATATATATATATATATATATATATATATATATATATATATATATATATATATATATATATATATATATATATATGTATATATATATATATATATATATATATATATACATATACATATATATATATATACATATATATATATATATATATATATATATATAGATATATATATATATATATATATATATATATATAAATATATATATATATATATATATATATATATATATATATATATATATATATATATATATATATATATATATATATATATATATATATATATATATATATATATAGATATATATATATATATATATATATATATATATATATATATATATATATATATATATATATATATATATATCATCATCATCATCATCATGATCGGTTGAAATTTGGACGATTTTAAATCTAGTTCTCTCAAAAACCACCTAATTAATTGTTATGATTTTTTTATAATGTCAAAACATTATTAAACAAAGTCGCTTGATGGAGAAATGAAGGTAATTGGACAAGCCAAAAATCTGCTTAAATTATATACGAAAAAAATTATGCATTTTAGAAGACGATGAAACTTACTGTGAAAAAGATTATTCAATGATTTCAGGTAATCAATAATATTATCAGTCAAAACGTTATCAGTCAAGCTTCTGACAAATTTAAGTACATTTGAGTAAGAAAATCACTTTTGAGTTCCTTGTACGGTAAGCAATTTGCAGTTAAGGTTTTAAAAGCTCTCTTTTCATAAAAAATTAATCTTTGACACCAGGTCTATATGCAAGCGAATGCTTGAAAAAACAACTTCTTCCTCTAATTAAAAAGCACAAATAATCAACCTTATTTCGGCCAGATCTAGCATTGATCCACTATTTCAAAAAAGTAATGCAATGGTATAAGAAAAATAGAGAAAATTTTGTTCTAATGGATGCTAATTCACCTAACTGTCATGAGCAGCGAGTTATCGAATCTTACTGGGCAATTGTGAAGGCAATACTGAGGAAAAGAGGCAAATGTGAAAATAGTGTTGAAAATTTCCAACATTTACGGATTAATGCTAAAAGTGGCGCAAAATAAAATTGTGGAGATGATAACGGTAACTTCACAAAAAATTATATTACTTACACGTCGTTAAGACTTAATTTTGTTAAGACTTAATTTTGTTGAAATAAAAACTAATTATACAAACATCATTATAAAAAGAATTTCATTACAATTGGTTAAGTTGTCTTTGAGAAAACCCGATTTAAAATCGTCCGAATTCAACCGATCATGGTGATAGCTTTCAAGTTGCAGGTAGCTTGTAAAATGTATAATATTAACCTCTTATGAACAATTGTTTAGCATAACTTCTTGATATATAATATGAAATATGACATGCAAAATATAAATAATAATTCAACCACATAGATCAGAAATTTTTTTTACGGCGATAAAGTAACTGTTTCCAACCCAATTGGACCCATAACACTCCACCCCTAGTGTATGGTTCCTTAAAGGAACTTTTCAAATTTTTTTGTGTTATATTAAACTATATCAAAATTTATCGACAGATTTTAAATTTTATCAAATAAAAAAATTGAGTTTAAAGGTTGCAACCGTTTAAAGTTATTTCAGGGGGTGAAATTTTAAACCTCCTATAGTCATAAATTTTAAACGAAAAAAGATTTTTTGGTGAAACTTGAAATTTTTTGGTGAAACTTGAAAAAAAAAAAAAAAAAAAAACTTTTTTTTTTTTTTTTTTTTTTTTTTTTTTTTTTTTTTTTTTTTTGTCTTTTATCAAAGCTTTACAAATACGTGATCATAAATATAAACTAGTTCGTTTACATTGTATAAAAAAAATACCGTACATATAATAAGAAAACTTTTTTTAATACAAATAATAATATATATAAAAAAGTAACACTGTTAAAAGACGCGGGAAACTTGCAGAAGACCATTTTGGTCTTGTCATCAAGAAACCGCTTTTAGTTGCGATATTTTGTATACTTAATTTATTAAGAAATTTCAGTTTGTCAAAGTCTCATGGTGGCATAAGAGTCACACATAAAAAGCTACTAGATAATCAAAAACAAAAAACGGAAAAGAGCTGTATTTGATACTCATAAATATATAGTTACATGGTTTGTTATACTTAGTATATTGACATGTACGAAATAAAAATAAAATCTAACATTTACTTTGCTTTAAAGTGGATTTTTTAGGGGTTTTTAGTTATTTGTTTTAATATACGTTTGTAAAATTGTTTAAGTTTAGAACAAGTTTTTTTAAAAGTGTTTTCAGAGAATTATGGTTAAGTAGTTTTGTAATTATAATATTTTTAGCTATTAGTTTGTTGTAGAGGTAAGGGCCGCGATACGAGATGGAGAAACGTGATAGTTTTGTTTTTTTATATGGTACTTTAAAATTTCCTATTCCTCGAGTTTCATATTTATTTCTATTGCATTTAAAAAATTCTTCTGAAAAATGTAATGGGACAAGTCCGAGTTTATATTTGAGCATGAATATCAAATTTTGGTAAATGTTAATTTTGTAGACATTTAGTGCATTTAGAAGCTTTAGCAAAGGTTCGGCATGAGTAAATTTATCTTTATTAAATACTATTCTTGCAGCATGTTTTTGATGTCGATAAAGTGCCACTAGGTTGGATCTATGGGTACTTGCCCATGCTATATTACCATACGTATAATAGGTTTGAATGAAGGAGAAATAAAGTAGCTTTAAATTTTTTTGGGGTAGCATCGGTCTAGCTTTGTAAATCTGTCAATAAATTTTGGTCTAATTTATGAAAGAACTAAAAAAAAAAATTATTATCTTGGGAGAGGTAGTTTTAGGAAGGGGGCAACCTAGGGGTTGGGTTACCTCCATTTACCTAAACTTTTTGGAAGTCATCCTTATTTGATAACAATATTAACATACTAAAAATTTGAGTGTGTCACATAGCTCTCAGTTACCTATCTTGAACAACAAAATTACTAGGCACTCGCCTAAAATACGATTTCTCGCTAGGTTTATTTTCTCCCCTTCCTTATTTCAAAAATGTAAAAAAAAATTGTCTTTTACATTTTTAAAATAAGGAAGAGTCTTCTGATTATGAACAAAAAAAAAAAATTCTGGGGATGTGTTGCAAGGTCTTAGAGAATGTTCCTATGCACCCTGTCTTACAGAAAGTTGATTGGTAACTATTGTTGTCGATGTTTATGATTTTATATTTGCGTGTTCTCTATGCAATATGTCTTTTCAAAAGTTAAAAGTTTTATAACATCTTTTTTTTAAAAAAAAAAAATGTTTAGTTAACTAGCAACTAGCTGGCAATTTCAAAAGCTTTAAAGATTTCTTAATAAAAAGTAAATTAAATGCTAGGGCCGTACTTGTGTTACCGAGGACCCGAATATAAAATTAATGATTAATGAATTTGGCCCACGAGCGGTGAAGTTATTATATAGCACTAACTCCATGGCCAACAAGTGTCATGAAATTATTAATAGCGGCCAACTCCATGACTCTGGAATAGAGATCGCCGGTTACAGTATACGGTATACTAACTTTACGGTATACTTTACCGTATAGTTGGTATACTAAAAATTACTATACCAATTAGTATACCTGTTATTTATGAAATATTTTTAAAATGATTTTATAATTCAATAATGATATTATCTTAATTGATTAAATAATTGTATTATATGTATTACGTGATTACTTTTTTAGATAAATAATACAATATTTATTAATAATAAATATAGTATTATTTATAGTAGTATTAAAAGAATTATCATTTATTAAAGTGTTGTTTTTTTGTAATTTAACTTTTGAAAGGTTTTTGAATTTATTTATTTAAATTTTAATTGTTTTTTTTTCTTTTTTATTTGTTTATTGTATGTATAAAAGTAACATGTTTACTCTTACCTTGAAGTAAAATATTTAATGTCAGAACAAATTTACCAACATATCTCTTTTTTTGGAAAAGGTTCAACAAGAAAAATTTATTGCAAATATTGTGATAAACAAATTACAGCAAAATTAACATTAAGATGGGAGCAGCATTTGAGAGGATGTAGAAAAACGTCTGATGAGGTTAAGTTGTGCTTTAAAAAAATAAAAAAAGAAGTTCAGAGTGTTATAGTTGAAACAAAAGGATATGATAATATGGCTTCACAAACCTCTGAAAATTTAGTTTTCAAAGAATCTGGGCAGCCTGCTAAAAGAACTATGCTAAATTCATACTTTGACACTATAAGCAAAGATGACATTGATAAGATAGATAAATCATATGCAAGGACATTTTTCCATACAGGAGTACCTTTTGCATTAGCTGATTCTTCTGCATGGAAGCAACATCATGCTAATCTTAGACCTGCATATAAACCTCCATCTAGTAAATGTATAAGTGGGCGTCTTTATAAAGATGCATTAAATGATGAAAAACATGCAATAAAAAAATATGTTGATAGTTCTGAATACGTTAGTATAGTGACTGATGGATTTTCAAACATTAATGTAAATCATCTTGTTAGTTATTTAATTCATGTTGAAAATAGGACTATGAAACCTATTGCTTACAAAATTGAGCCTACTGGTCAAGAACAGCTAACTGGCATTAATATTGCAAAACGCATAGAAATTGTAATTCTTGAAATAGGTGTTGATAAAATTACAAGCATTGTTACTGATAACGCATCAAACATGAGAGCTGCATGGGATATTATTGAAAAAAAATATCCAAAAATATTTTGTAATGGTTGTGCTGCCCATACAATAAATCTTTTAGTAAAAGATATTTGCCTTCTTCCTGAGTTTGTGGATATTTTACAAAAGTCTGGAAAACTGACAGCCTTTGTTAAACAAAGAACATCACTTATCGATCAATTTCGTATAATTCAAAATCGTGTTAAACAAGAAAATAATTTGAAGAAAATGCGAGCATTATCACATGTAGTTTTAACACGGTGGTATAGCCATCATACATCTGTTGCCCGTAATCTTGAAAACAAACTAGTTCATTTGAATTTAATTAACTCTGGTGCCTTCTCACGTGTATCTATATAAAAAAAAATCAGATTATGTAAACATTGTACAAGACAATTTTTTTTTGGGAAGAATGTCAACGTTTTATTAATGTTATGAAACCATTATCAAAATTAGTAGGTAAACTGGAATCCGATAGTTGTCTACTTTCTGAAGTTTATATAGGGTTTGTTAACTTAATGGAAATATCGAAGGAAGACGCAGTATTGAAAACTCTTGTTTTAAGGAGATGGGAATTTATTCACACGCCATCTATGGGATTTGCATACTTTCTTGATCCCCGAAATCATGGTGGCAGAAATATGTATACTGAGTCTCCTCCATCTAGCAAAAGTGATCTTGTTATAGTACTTGAGTTGCTTCCAAAGTACATAGTTGAAACAAGAGGACTTTGCAATTATGAAATTTCAAAAAAAGAAATAAAATCATTTCAGAGGCTATGTGCAAATCCGACTCCAGATTTTGTAACTCAGATTAAATTAATGGATCCTGATATCTGGTGGGGAGTTAAGGGTGCAAGTAAATTTCTAAGAAGTTTTAAAAATCTCTATATTACATCAACAAATCTTTAAATCATCGAAAAATATTAGTCAAATTTTGTTTAAATGAAAATAAAAATGTTTTTGTTTACTTTAGTATTTATTTATTCTTCCACCTGATTATTTTTATTTTGCTGTCTCAAAGGCATCCTAAAAAAGTAGAGAGCAGACAAAGTCCAGATGGCCAACAAATCTATAACAAGGTTAGGGCCCCAGAGTGCAAAAACTGCAAAAAATTGAACAAGGGAGGAGTTTTGTGTCATGTGATAAGTTTCTGCTGTTTCTATTCTTCTAAAATTATTTGAAAACACCAGAACTTATTTTTAAAATGCTTGTTCTAGTAAGTGGTGGATTTTGATCAAGGTTTTTTATTTAATTACTTAAGTTATTAGTTTTGAAAATCTTTAAATATATTTTTGTTCTTACTTTAAATCAGTTAAATATCAAATCCAATAAAAACATTCAACCTAATGCTAATTTGAATATTTAGCTAAGGACGGGGTTGGGAAATTAAAAAAATTGGTCTGGTCCCCTTGCGACTGAACAAATAACATTTTTTAACTTCTCTTATAGTTTCGCTAACAAATTTATTAAGTAAAAAAAGTTGTTTATTGCAATGACGTCATTGGTATACTTAACAGTGTACTTTACGGTATACTATACAGTAAACGGTATACTAAAATTTTACTATACCGTAAACTAGCGATCCCTACTCTGGAACAACCATAGTCAAGAAGTAATTATTTGGATTCAAAAGTACTTTTTAATTTAAAAAAATCAGCCACTGTATATAACCAGATTCTAGAGAGCAATGCAACTTGATACTTTACACTACCCCTACTATATATTGTAGCCACAATACGGTAGACAAAAAATAGCGGAATTTGTGGGCGTTAAACTTTTTATTCACATTGATAAAAAAAACTATAAAGGTTTCGAAAATAACGTTTTTATATGTATATCATTGAAATGAAAATTATTACAAATAATATCACTTGTAAATTTTGTAAAAATAATAAAAAGTGTGTGCATATATATATATATATATATATATATATATACCGTAAAATTGATAAAACTGTTGATACTAAAATTAAATATTGTTTATATATACAAATAAAAAGCAAAAATATTATATACATATATATGTGCATATGATTAGCAAGACTAAATGAACATGATGAATGCATGATCTATGATGTACCCTATATAAATAAAATGATATGAGGTATACCTTAAATACTCATCCAAATCAGCAAAATAAAAATTTGAGTTATAAATCCATAACGTAATTAATAACTAATTAATAAATACTATTGGTCTATTAGTAACTTAAAATTACTAATGGTTGAAAATACTTTTAGCTTTCGGTAAAAAAACTGTTAAATACAATATTAAAAATAGAATCCATGCTCCATGAATAAAAATCCCCGTACACAAGGACATAAAACCAAATCTTTTTGCATTATCAGAAGCAAATTTAGCTCTACTGAGATTTCCTTCAGCAATAGCAGTATTGACCTAAAGTAAAATTAAAAAACTTTGTTGACCTTAAGCATCGACATTAACAAATAATTGACATGTTGGTCAATTAAAAAATAGAAAAAAATGTCACAAAACAAATTTATAAACCTCTATTGATTTAACTATAGCACAAAGACCAAGTGGCCAACAGCAAAACAAGCAGGTTAACCATGCAAGTATACTATAATTATCTGGAGGTGGTCCTGAATAAAGTGGAAAAGATTGAATAGCCTCTGTTTGTGGATTTGTAATAACTGTTCCTTGATTTGGCTAAAATGATAATGATCGTATAAACAATATATATTTTTTTTATTTATATATAAATATATGTATATATATTTAAAATATAAATATAAAATATAAATATATTTTATATATATATAAATATATATATATTTATATATATATAGTTAAATTGTATAATATATATACAATTTAACTATATATATATAAATATATATATAGTTAAATTGTATATATATATAAATTGTATATATATATATATATAGTTAAATTGTATATATGTATATATATATGTATATGTATATATATATATATATATATATATATATATATATATATATATATATATATATATATATATATATATATATATATATATATATATATATATGTATATATAATATTAGAATAATAATAAAATAAATTAAATTAAATTAAAAATCATAACTCAGAGTTTCACGCTTTATGCGATCATCAGACATTACAAACAACCATAACAGCAAATTAATAAATGTTTCGTGATCTTGATTATAATTTTGATAGAGGCAAGGTTTTTATTTGGAATGTAATCTTTTCATTATACCCACTTGTTGCTAACACATTAATGTAAAATGGTGTAGCTCTATCGAAAACTTCCTTGCTAGATAAAATATTGCTATACTGTTAGATATCAAAGTTGATATGGATTTAATAATAGGCGGTTGGTTAAAATATATATTGATGTATAATGGGTGGTTACCTGGTTTTCTGTGTGACTGTGTGAAAGTATTTCTGACAAGTTGAAGTTAACATTTAAAAAGTATACAATTTTTAAGTTGATTTCGATTGTAAGTTTTAGATTAATTTTCTACTTAAAAAAATGAACAATGTTTTTCTTGATTCTCTCGAATTGTGATCCATTAATTGTAGATGCATTTTTAATACATTGTTTCCTGTTTAGAATGTTGAATGCTGGATCATCTTGACATAAAACATGGGTTCTGCTAGTGTCTTTGTTTTTATGAATAGACAACTCATTCTATTATCTTCTAATGAGGGTACAGTTCTAAAACTCAGTTTTATGGTTTTGAGGCTGGCTTGTAGACAGGTTTCCGGAATTCTGTGGTGTTACTCAAAAAGGCTGATTGCATCAACAACAGAAAAATATCAAAGTATTAACAGTGCTATGTTGCGCATGGATGGTGTCCCTGTTTGTACTTTTGGTGTGCATTGCCAAGGCCACATTGGAGCCCTATGTTACGGCTCAGGGTTAATTAATAGTAATGAGGTAATTGCTTGGGCTATTAAACAGTGTACCGAGTACTATTTATGCTTCGAGTCAAGTTCTTTAATAAATTTAAAAATGAATAAAGTAACAAAAACTATAAAACACAAAAAGAAGCACCTAAGGGTGGATGTGGAGAAACTGAGAGAAGGTAAATGATTCAAGTTGTCTGGAAAACGAATTAGAAAGTTGACTATTTGAGTTAGGGATAGAGAAAGGCAAAGGTTGTGAGCTTTAACACATGCAGAGTCACTGACAGAGATCCAACCATTGCCATCACCAAGTTCGCTAAATCTATCATTCACTAATATTCGTGGTCTTCGAAGTAACTTTTCTTCTGTTGAGTCTTATCTCTTGCTAAATTCACCAGACCTACTTTCTATTTGTGAGACTAATTTGAGTTCAGCTGTCTTCATCTTGTGATCTTAGTGCTGATGGTTATCTTTCTTTAATTCAAAAAGACTCCAATAGTCACATGCTTGGCCAGGGCATTTACATTCGTAAGAATTCAACCATTTGTTGGGAAACTAGGTTTGAATCCAGAAACTACTCTTTTATGTGCTTTGGTTTAGTACCACTTCACTCTATTGCCTTTCTCTATATAGCTCTCCTTTATCTCAAGACTGCACTCTTCTTGATGCTATTTCTGATCATATTGACCGAGCTCTCTCTCTTTATCCATCAGTCAATATTTTTGTTGTTGGTGACTTTAATGCTCATCACACAGAATGGCTACTTACATAATTTTGTGGATTCAGGCTCATATGGGATCTTTTATTCCCTCTCGACGATTTCAGGTCAAGTTTCACTCTTCTCCATAGTTTTCCTTAAATTGTGCTGCTGCAATTGACAATTGAAACCGTTACTTCCATATCTATCCGCAGACGTCTGTTTATTACTGCTATCAGACGTCTGTTTATTACTGCTAGAAATCCTTGTAAAAAGGTTTTCTCCAACGCCAAAGCCCCCTAATCTCAGGTCATGAAATCACGAAAATTAGGCTCTCGTGACATCTGGAAAATCTTTAATAGTATCAGTATCAATGACAAATCTGAAATTCTACCTCTCTTGTATGGTTCAGACTTTGTCACCTTAACTAAAGACAAAGCTGAATTGTTTGCTAAGAGCTTTTCATCAATATCATCTCTTGATTCCACTTGTTGCGTTCTACCAGATATAACCATCAAACAGGTTAATCCATTGCTTGACATTGGTATCACTCCAGCTTCTGTATCTAAAATGATTTCCTGCTTAGACTCTTCTAAAGCTTGTGGCCCAGACAACATACCTGTTATAGTCTTGCAGAAGTGCTCTCCAGAGCTATCGTCTATCCTTTCAAAATAATTCATCAAGTGCTTATCAGAGTCTTGTTTTCCAGCTTGTTAGAATGCAACATCAGTTATCCCTATTTGCAAAAATTCTGAAGAGCAATCTGATTCATCTAACTACTGTCCCATTAGTCTTCTTCCTATCATAAGCAAGGCCTTTGAATCTTTAATTAACAAACACTTAATCTCTCATCTTGAATCTAATAACTTTCTGATCATCAATATGGATTCCGATCTTCTCGTTCTACGGCTGAGTTGCTAACAGTAATAACCGATGGGTTTTATCGTGCATTATAAAAAGATGGAGAAGTTAAGGCCATCGCTCTTGATAATTCTACAGCTTTTGATAAAGTTTGGGATGCTGGTCTTCTCCATAAGCTTTCTTCTTACAGTGTATCTGGTAACATCTTTAAGATTATTAAGTTCTTCCTTTCCAATCATAGTATAAAAGTTGTTCTTGATGGACAGCACTTTTCTTCTTATTCTGTAACCTCAGGGGTTCCTCAAGGTTCAATCCTTGGCCCAATACTCTTTTTAATTTACTTTAACGACCCTTCAGATATTCTCACATCTAAGGTTGGCTGATGATACTGCCATTTATTTTTGTCATGATATGAAACCAACTCTCTCTGATTGCTTGGAGGGGGCATTTGAGATTGAAAAGGATCTCACATTTGTTACAGCATGGGACTCACAGTAGCTGGTAAACTTTAATTCAGATAAAATTCAATTTTTTTCAGCCAATCATTATCGCATTAATTTAGACCTTCCTATATTTATGAACGGTAATGTACTTGATAATCCATCTACCTTTCATCTTCTAGGATTAATTCTTACTTCCCATTTTTCTTGGAAACTATATATAAAATCCTTTGCAAAACTAGCATCTGCTAAGGTTGTCTCTCTTTATTTTTTTTTCTACAAATACTATAATGGACACTGCTTTATTGAGCTAGCGTCTCTTGTGTCATCTACTAAAATTCATTCCTGTGTTACTTGTCATTCAATTAAGTCTCATTGTATTTCTGTGACTGTTCCTAAGTGCTCCAAAAACTCTTATTTGGATTTATTTTGGAATTCGCTTTCTTCATCTTGATTTTCTGATTTATATAACTTTTTAATCTTGTCAATTGTTATCTTGCTCTACAATCTTCATCTTTTCTTTTCCAGTAACTTCTAACTCTAATTAGCGGTTGCTTGCAGCCTTGTTGAAAGCAAAGATGTTAAAAAAAAAAAAAAAAAAAATCCTTGTATAATCCAATGGTTTGCAACCCATAGTCTTGACTTATAGTATGAAGAATAACGAGGCCAGTTGACTTACATGTTTCAGCCCCATCAAAACTTCCCATATTGACATTAAAATTAGGATCTCCATATTTTTTAGCCCATATACTATTGTGTTCAGTAAACAGTAATGATTTTCTTGAGTGATTTATAATATCTAATATTTTTTCTAAAATTTCTGTAAATTGTTAGACGTGAATAAGTAAATTTTAAAGTAATTCTTTAGAAAAAGGAGGATAGAACTCTTCAATATCAAACTGGATGAAACTACAGTTGTGTTTGTCTTTAATATTGCGGAACCAATTAATTATGTCATCTGTATTATGCCATTGGTTTACAAGGGTGGTTTTTCTCACTTTATTGTTTATGTTTTCCAGCAAAATTTTTCTAACCTTTCCAAGTTCTGGTTTGAATGGATTAATTAATCAACATTTAGTATTGTTGGCAAAATCATCTTTATAATCTTTTATCATTATAAACGCCATATTCATTGCCAGGCACTTAATTCTGTTGTCGATACCCAACTCTTTAGCAATTACTTTAGCCACATTATTAATGTTATTATAATGCGAATTATCATATTTTTTTTAAATTCTGGTTACATTAATAATGATTAATAATATCTCATTTGTATATATTATTGGGCGTGTTGTATAATCTGAATATATTATTATATAATTACAAATTATACTAATATATATTGTACTATTATATATTTATATAAATTATATATTTTTTAACTATAATATTATAATTCGTATATATATTGTATAATTTGTATATTTATTTTATAATTTGTATATATAATCTATATATACAAATTATAAAATATGTATAATTTGTATATATAGATTATATAAATTGTATGTATAATCTATATATTTTATTTATGTATTGTATAACTTGTATATACTATTGTATTTTTTTATTTTTTTACTTTTAAAATTACTTTCCAAAAAAAAACCTTGCCTTATCAAAATTAAAATCAAGATCATTAAACATTAATTGGTTTAATCCTTCGCTTTCGCAAAACCAACAACACAAACAATTTTCTAAATCTAATTAAAAAGCATTTTCAAAAAACACATAAGTTTCACAAAATATTAATAGTAATAATTTAAAAGACAGTTATAGATTAATACAGTCGCCAATAATTCACACAATAAAAAAAAAAATATCATCTAATGTTTCCAACATAATTGTTCCAACCTGTAACTGCTGGCAACCTTCACAATGTCCTTTGCAAGGTATGTATATTAGAAAAAATATAATTTCCATCTGCAATATATAACATAATATAATAATAAAAATATAACCGCAGGATATACTGCTAGTATCCACGCAAAGATGACATGATGACATTGTTTAAAAACATAATTTAAGGCAACATACAAATTTTTTTTTTAATTTTTAAATACATATTTAAGATAAATAATATTAAAAAACATGTGTAATATCTTATATCATGAATTTATACATGTTTGACCTCTAAAATCCTAAAACTTAGTAAAATCGTAGCCTCTAACTTGCAATATACAGGCAAATACAAAAAAACAACACAAATGTCGCCTTAATTGCTATTTTTTTCATTATTATTGATATACGGATCTAAACTTAGTGCTCATTTTCCTCTTATATAATAAACTACATAGATTTAAAACATGGTAATTAGTTGACATGTTTGGAATTATTTTAAAATATGCAAAGTGCGAGGAAGCGTCCATAATTTAATATAACAACTAAAGGTGGCGCAGTTTCATCGCCTGTAAATATAAGTCAACTTTATTGCGCAATTTTTTACACCAAGTGTCAACCAGCACAAATATATATATATATATACATATATATATATATATATATATATATATATATATATATATATATATATATATATATATATATATATATATATATATATATACATATATCTACTATAGCATATTTATATGCGCCATTGCTCACTTTTTTTGCTAGCCTAATTTAAGTGAGCGTTTTTAGAAAACGATGAGGAAAAACAAAGAATAATAAATGAAAAGGTTTCATTTATTATTCTTTGTTTTCCCTTATCGTTTTCAAAAATGTTTGTGAGCACATTACTGAACATGATCTTTCAAACTTTGCAAGACACTGCGAATCTTTTCTTATGCAATGTGTTAACATTATTATTATTACTCAATGCTATTAGATTATACTATTTGTTACACATCGAAATTTATTTTTAACTATAATATGTAGAATATATTATTATTTATTACTAATCATTTAAGCGATTCATAACATGCATTATAAAATGTTATACAGTTTATTCTAGTTAATTTGTGAAGTTATAGTTATAGTTAATCTAGTTATAGTTATAATCTAGTTTAAGTTATAGTTAATCTAGTGAAGTTATAGTTATTTTATTATATATATATATATATATATATATATATATATGTATATATATATATATATATATATATATATATATATATATATATATATATATATATGTATATATATATATATATATATATATATATATATATATATATATATATATATATATACATTGTTTACAGCCCCCTCAAATTGAAGGGGGTTAAAACTTTATATGGTCAGAATTTTCAAAAAATAAGAGATTATTGCATGAAATTTGTTGATGAATATAAACTTAGATAAAAATGCTAAAGAAATTATTTTATAAACTTGTTGCTCCCACATTAAGGGCTGGGTGGGCCCAAAAATTGGGGTTTTCTTGTCCCCAAGCTCCAATCACCGCAACTCTTTGCAAAGCATTCTCATTTGGAATAAGCATGAACATACAAAAAGTTTGGAGTTTGCACAATACCTGTAAGTGTCAAAACTCAAGCATCTAAAAATCCAGTGTACACCACTGATATGTATATATATATATATAGCTCCTTTAAGCAGCAACAATTGAAAGTATTGCAACTTTACAACAATGTGTTGTAAATCTTGTCCAGAGAAAAAAGAAAAAGTATCATTTGGAAAACCTGCCAAAATATGACATACAGGAACAAATATAATTTGTAGAAATAGAGAATAGAATTAGGAGTGAGATAAAGCTGGATGAAGAGAAGCAAGCTTAATAGATGCTAACTTTGCAATTAACTGTATATATAGTTTTTATGAAAGGTCAGTAGTGAACAATTATCCAAGAAGATGTAAAGAGAAAAGTAAGAGTCAGTAAGAGGGTTGCCGTTCATTAATACAAGAATATCGACAGTATTGTGATAGTTAGTCAACAATTATTTAATAGAACTATGTTGGAATTAAAATTTACAAGCTACTGCGAGCCCCAATCTGTTACAAAAGTGAGACTAGATTCAAGATTCACTGCCTTTTCTAAGCAATCAAAAAGAGAAGATTTTTTGTCAAGATAGGAGTACAAAGTTAATAATTTAAAAAACTTTCTTAGATATACCATATGAAATGAGCTTATGGAGAAGACCAAAATGCAAAACTTAATTGAAAGCTTTAGACAAGAACAATAGCTTTGTAAATGGTCAAAGAATTCAAACCTGATTTCTCTACAAATAGGTGAACTGCTGTAAGTATAATGCAAAGTGAAGCATGTACTTATTGGAGTCTTAACAAACCAAAGGGATAGTACCCATCAATACTAAGATCTGAAGAAAGAAAAGTGAAATTCAAATTAATCTCACAAAGAGCAAGCAAGCCCGTGAATTTTTGAAGTAAGATTCAGCTGATGGAAAATTACTGCTAAGACCATGAATATTTGTAAAAGGTATATTGAAAAAGTAAGATGGTGGAGATTGTTTTTTACATTTAATATTTTTAGTTACTTCAAGCATGATTTAAGTTTAAAGAAAACTTGACTTAATAGATAGAGCACGACATCCTAAGCAATGAGCTGTGCAGTTTTCTTAGTCCTGCTAATTAACCCAAAGCTGTAACTTAGTTAAAAAAAAGTTACTTCCTGTACGCAATACTTTAAAGGATTGATGGGAATAATTTGGAAATGAATTACAAAAAACAATTAACAGAATACTAGAGATTAAGGTAAGTGTAAATTTTATAGGTGGAGTCACTATTTGGTAACTGAGCTAACACTGCATTAGAGACAGAACACAAACATAAATATAGTAACTTACAGATGAGCAAACAATGCATTAGAAGTTTAGACAGAACAAACATACATATAGAAACTTACAGTGAATGAACACCATGCAAGAGGTTCAGATAGAACACAAGCATATATAATAACTTACAGGTAAATGAACACTGTAACATATATTACTCAAAATTTTGAAAAAAATTTAAACAACTTACATAATAGTAGGGTGTTTGATAACCAACATTTTGTGGGTTTGAAGGATAAGGAACTGGTTGAGGCTGGTAGAAGTTTGGGTTTTGAGAAGTATAACCAACATTCTGTGGATTATACAAAGGATCTATTTCAGTTACTGTTTGAGGCTGGTAGAAGGTTGGGTTTTGAGAAGTATAACCAATACTCTGTGGATTATACAAAGGATCTTTTTCAGTTACTTGATAATAACCAGGGGGTGGTGGAGCTTATAGAAAAATTAAAATATTATTATTATTACTATAGTTGTTAGAACAGATGATATCATTTTATTCAATGAAAATTAAAAATATGATATATATTTTTAATTTTCATTAAAAAAAATAGATAATACATATGAACTATTTTCTTCTAAAGACAATAGTTAATAACAAGAAAAAAAAAACTAAAACTAACAATATATGTTATAATTAAATATTTTCTAATAGCAACTATAACTTTAACAGATTTTTTTCAAAAATTTTAAAATATGAATACATATTTATTTATGAAGGCATGATTACAAAACTAAGCAAAAATACATATTGAAACAATAATCTTTATTTATATTCAAGACAGAAACAATTATCATTTTTGTTTTCAATTACCTCTTTGTATAGAAAAATATCAACTTTTCTATCCAAAAACTAAGTATTTGTAAAATTACACTGTTGTTTTTAGTAACTCATTTGTTGTTCAAAAAATAGATGCTTATTGAAGCAAGAAGAAATTGTAATACTTCCATTTGTTCTCTTTTAAGTATAAGGGAGTGGATTAAAAATATAGGTTCAGCTTTTGAGCAATACTAAAATAAGTATTACTGATTACATCGCATATTAAAAGGTAGCCTACTAACTAGTTAGTAGCACACTTTGTCTTTTGATGTTTGTAATAAAATAAAAGCAATATCTTTAAATGGTTATCTTTTAGTCCCTTATGTGAACCATACACATTTTTAAACTCTTTTGAAGTAACCTTGTTGAAAGTATTTTTTTATTGCTGTATAAGTTATTGAGTTGAATGTTTTTTTGTTTCTTTTTTGCTTTAATAAACTATTAAAATAAATCAAATTCAGTGATTTTTATTTGCTACTCTGATTCTTATTTTTGACATTTCTTTGTTGCAATAAAAACAGGCAAATTTAAAACAAAACAACATAATTATGTTGGAAATTCATAAAAAAAAATTTACAGCTATTCAAACAATCTATTTACAACTAAAAAATGTATATAATAACAAATAACAACCTATTTAATAACAAAATTAACATATATAAATTAACTTTTTTACAAAGAGTTGAAAATACTATATTAAATTTATCTAAGGAATATTTTTCCATATACGGCATATTCAAATTTGTGTAACTATTTTTTATAAACAAAAAAATTTATTTTGCTTTGAAAATAAAGAATTTTCATAGACCTAAAGTAGATTTTTTTTGTCTTCAAACTTTTTGATAACAAAAAAATGTTGTTTAGGGTTAACACCCATAGATCTACATTTGTGTGTTTTATACTATTTTTACACATCATTGTTTCCTGGAAAAACTATACCAGTATTGCTAATGCAATCCAGTTGCAAGCAAAGTTATATATGAATAACTATAAAGCAATAGAGTTACATATGAGCCAATAAAAAAACTAATATATTTTACTGATCAGTCATATTATCAAAAAGTATTTTTATGTTTTCATGTGACTGAAATAAATTTATATATAGTAAAAAAAAAATGGTCGAGAATGAATTTTAGTAGATGGCACAAGAGACGCTAGCTCTTTAGAGCAGTGCCCATTATAGTATTCGTAGAAAAGAGAAAGAGAAGCAACATTAAGACGATGTGACAGAGGTTGAAGGTTGGCTACAAGAGCAGGTTCAACTATGTTTACAATGCATTTTTGCACCTTGTCTAAAAGAGAAAGGGCATCATTAGAAGATCTGCCCCAGATATGGCAACAGTATTCCATACAAGGTCGGATTTGAGATTTATAGAGATAGAGAATAGAATCCAGAGTAAGAAAGTGTCGAGCTCGATAAAGAGATGCAACTTTAGCAGATGCTAATTTTGCAACGGATTTGATATAAGGTTTTCAAGAAAGATCAGAAGTGAGAGTTAATCCTAGAGTTAATCTTAGCATCAAAAGACCTAAGTCATACATTAACCACTATAATAAATGAGTTGCTTAAATCCGTAATATATTCTGTATAAAATTGCTAGAATTATTCCAATCTTGAAAAAAGGCTCAAACACAAATTATCTTGACTTTCGACCAATATTACTACAGTCCAATATCAGTAAATTGCTGGAAAATTATGTATAAGAAATTAAAAAGTTTTCTAAGCCAGAACAATTGTCTATATAAGCTTCAGTTTGGATTTTACAAAAAACATTGTACTAACCAAGCACTCATAGGCACTGAAACTATATGCAAGGCTTCAGACAATAACACACTTAATTGTGGGGTTTTTATTGACTTACAGAAGGCATTTGATACTGCGGATGATGGAATTCTGTTATCAAAGTTACATCACTATTTTATCATAAGAGTTGCTTACTCATTGTTCAAGTCATACTTCTTGAACCATTCTCAATTTGTCACAATTTCCGATATCTCTTCTAATACCAAATTAATATATGTAGGTGTTCCCCAAAATTAAATTCTTAGTCCTCTCCTTTTTCTTATCTATATTAATGACTTAAACACATGTACTAAGTTCTCAAAAACCTATCATTTTGGTGATGACATTAATGTCCTAATATTTAAAAAATAACATTAAAAAAAAATAATAATAATTATGACTTGACCTGATTGGTTTAATGGTTAAGATTCAATAATATATTCTTAAATGTTAAAAATACTGAAATAGTTCTCTTTAAACTGCACCCTGTACAACATCATAAAAAACTCTTATTAATATATGGTATGCTATATTTAACTCATATGCTTTATATATATGGTATGCTATATTTAACTCATATACTTTATAGTTATTAGATATGGGGGCAAAATCGTTCCAAGTATACACAGATCATAGAAAACCTTCAAAACAAATATACACAGATCATAGAAAACCTTCAAAACAAATTACTTAAAATAGTTTATTTCCAATCTAATAGATTTGACTCTAAAATCCTCTACAATCTCTCAAAAATTATGAAGCTAAAAGATCTAATATTTCTATTGAACTGCACATTTTTATAGGACAGTTTGCATTATAACTTACCAATAAGATAGTTATTATAATACTTTGATAGTTATTATAAATTTGTTAATAAAAGTCATTGCCATAATCTCAGATTAGAATTGTGTAAAAACCTTGTAATACATTTAAAGCAAACACTTAAGTGTGGCATTAATTCCATTAAATACTAATCCATTAAATCATGGAATTATCTTCCCTCTGAAATCAAGACAACATATCTAAAAAAAGGGGGTAGAGCTGGGCTGTCTTCAATAACAAAGTCAAGGAATTTTTAGGTCATTTTGACATTATCATTTGTACCAGTAAAATTTAAGTTGTTTTTGCTTCATTTCTTAAATAACATGTTATGGTTGATGCTCTTGTTACTGTATGAATATTGTTCTATATAAGAGCCTGTTTTTTATTATCTTTAGTGTTATTGCTTTTTTGTGTGTTTTTTTGTGTGTGTGTTTTATTTAATTATCATATTATTATTATTATTATTATTATTATTATTATTATTATTATTATTATTATTATTATTATAATTACTATTATTATTATTATTTTTATTATTTTAATACTACTGATATTATTATTTATGTACAGTAATATCTTATATATTTTGTCAAGTTTCTAGTGAATATTTGTAGGTCGTCACGTTTTTGTCAGTTACATAACTGTTTGTGACTGATCCAAACTTTGTATTTACTTTATAAAAACAAATGATTGATTGATTAGCTAAATAAAAAATGTAAAAGTCATTCATTATCTCTTTAACATATTAATAAGCATAAGTTATGCAATTTTCATTAAAATTTCTGAAACTACTATTAATTATTTATTGATTTAACTGGTATATGCAATTTTTTAAAAAAGGTAATTACATGGGTATTAAATAAATTTTTTTACTTTTTTCCATATCTAGCTTGTTGTGTCAACAACTATCAAACTTTAAATCAGTTTTTGTTTTTATTTACTTGCCAATATTTTCTTCTAATGACAGCGTTTAAACTAATTTTACAACGTTTAACAGCGTTTAAACTAATTTAACAACCTTGATTCTTTTCGAAAAAGGCGTTGTTCATGACATAAATATCTTATCAAAAATATATTTAAATATAACAACAACGAGAAAAAAAAAATCACGCGACGCAAATATTTTGTCCGATCGAAATTCAATGAAGTAAAGCATGGTCGTAAGAATCATAAAAGTATCTTTCTTATAACTGTGTCAAGTCTTTAACTCAAAACTTTACTCAAGTAAAGTTTTGAGTCAAACATCAAGTCAACCTTGGTTAAAGGTCTTATGTATCATTCAAATAAAGATTTCGAATTTTTGAAAAAACGTTTTAAAAAAGTGTGCGATTTTTAAGTGCACCTTTACCTAAATCCGGTAACCTAAATCTTATTTTGAATACAAAGCTACGATGGCGAACCTCTGAAAGTTTTTAAAATATTCTTCAGATTTAAATGAGTGAATATAGCAATTTTTGTTTTCAATTATAACAATTTTTTTCTCTCAGTACTTTGATTATTTTAGTTAGACAAGTTTGGTAAAATGACCCTGAATCCAGAGTTAAGTTAAACTTTGTTGAGGCGATTGAGAGTTACAAGAAAGATATTCTTATGACTAAATAGCTATGACGCTTTCTTTTGATAATATATTTTTAGGAAACCAAACATGGATTCAAAGAATGTTAGGTAGGGGAGCATCTAATATTATGTAGACAAGTATATATAAATGGGTTACCCAAAAGCGTACAAGTCAACTTCATTTTAAAAAACTGATACCTTTTTTTTCCTGAATACAGACAAGTAAAGGAGGATGGGTAGGAGTGAGCCAAGGGTAGGGGTGAATTGTTGATCCTACAGCTAAAACGGGAAATGAAAAAGACTCAAGATTTTCACTAAGTTGTTATATTTAAATTGTTGTTAACACAATCCAATTTTTTTACCGCTTCTTAGTGCGAGTGTCTTCTTTTACGTTGTCATTAACTCTTTTCTGTGCAAAAGTAAATTTTTTGTATTTTTTGAAACTTCTTTAACGAGCATACCGTTTTTTTTTTGTTTTTTTATTTGTTTTGTTAATTCACCTCCTCAAGGCCGAGAAGGCCACTACAGACGAGGAGGCTACTTAAAAGAACAACTTTTCTATAAAAGTTGTTCTTTTAAGTACACTACAGACGAGGAGTCTATAAAAGAACAACTTTGAAATCAAAAACTTCCAGAAAAGATATGAAAGATGCATTACATTTAATCCAAAAAGGAAAAAGTATTAGAGAAACTGCAATAACTTCTAAAAAAAGGCTACCTCGACCAACTTTTTCTAGAACATGTAAAAGGCAGCATTGCCATTACAAATTTGATGTTATGTTTGACTATATCAGTATTTGTTAAATATTATTTTTATTGCCAATATACTATATGCTAATATACTACTTTCATTACATATATATGTACTTTTATTATATCTTATTATTTGGAAATTATCGTTTGTCATGACAGTTTTTTGTTTTATTATCAAAATCAGTTGTTAGTGAAAACATATTATTTTTCTGATAGTTTATACATTTTGTTTATTTCATTAAATGAATTTAAAATTGTGTTAAATTTGTTGTTGTTTATGTTACATTATTAATTAATTATGTTATGCTTAATTATAAAGTATTTGTTATCTAATTATAAAGTATTTGTATCTAATTTTAGTTTTTTGGTAATCAAAGATAATGGCTCATTCCTACCATTTGATTGGTTCACTCCGACCCATGCATGGGTAGGAGTGAACCAGTAGCAACACCTGCGTTATTGTTGAAGTTATTAAAAATCTGAAGATATTTTGATATTTCATGTATTACTATTAGAAACCTAATACTTTAGGCTACTTTAGGCTATACTTTTCCACTTTTGGTTTCCTTGATATAATCGATTAAAAAAAAAAGTGTCTCACTCCTACCCATCCTCTCTTATAAAGGTCAATAGTTCCTCACTATATTTGCATATATTTAGTTATAGAAAAAAAGAAAAAGATATCAATAGTTAGTCTAATTAAGTTAAAATTAAAAGTTTTTATTTTGTTTATGTTTTGAAATTTTTGAGCGGAGGGGATATTTTTCTTTGAAAAAAAAAGCACTATTTTTATGTAAATATAAAACATAAATTAGGAAAATAAAAAAAAATAAATAAATGACAAATAAAGTTTTTTTAAATATTTAGTTATAAAAATAACTATTTTTTTTATTTTATTTACTTATAAACAAATTTAAAAAGGTAAAGCTTAATGTTGGTCTTTAATGTAAATTGACGACATTTGTTTTTATTTTAATAAATCTTTAATGTTGTCATTACATTGAACATTACCAGTAATTCGAAAAACTGAAAACTGTGGCTTGATTGCAATGATATTGAAGTTAAAATCTCTGATAAAATATTTTTACTGCAAATTTTTCAGGAATAACTAATTGAATATTATTTTAAAGTAAAACTTAAGCAATTTCTTTGAATGAATCTGAAAATGTTTAAAAATTTGTAAAGAAATAAACATTGTTGTTTTCAAACTCTCTTCAAAACTTCCTTCTTGTTGATCTATAGATACTTTCTACAATTTATAATTTTTGTGATTCAATCAACAAAAAAAATCATCAACTGATTTATAAAGTTTTAAAAATGGCTTTTTTTTTCGTTATATTTTCAACGCTGTTCTTTACATTTAAACGATCAAAAAGCATATCGATCATATAGCAACAAATACTAGGAATAAAGGAACAATAGGAGTATTTAATGATCTCTCTAAGACATTCGATACTGCTGATCACGGAATTTCACATTTAAAGCTAAAGCATTACGGCATTAAAGGCCTAGCATAAGTGGGATAAAAGTTATCTTTTTAATAAAAAACAATTTGTTGTCCTGGAGGAGTCAGGAGCTCTTGATATTGTTTGTGGAGTCCTACAGGTATTTTTTATTTTTTATTTTTAAAATATATCAATGATATGAATAAAGCTTCTCATAAAATATCGTTAGTTATGTATGCAGACAATACAAATTTATTCTACAACAATTCTGATGTAAAAATATTGTTCAAAACAATGAACATTGAACTAGAAAGCTTTAACCAATGGTTTTTAGCTAAGAAGTTATCATTAAATTGTGAAAAAACAAGTTTTATTCTCTTCCATAAAATAAGACAATTAACTAATCTTCCGTTAAAGTTGCCAAAACTGCTAATCAAAAAAATTAAATAAATAGAGTAAATCATTTAAAATTTTTGGGAGTAATATTTGATGAGAACCTATCATGGAAAAAACATACTAGTCTCATTGAAGCAAAAATATCTTCTGCCATAAGTGTATTATATAAATCTAGGGTATTTCTTGATTATAAATCACGCAAAATGCTTTACTTCAGTCTTGTTCATTGTTATCTCTCCTACGCTAATATTGTTTGGGCTAACACACACAAAACTAAGTTATTAAGATTACAGAGCCTACAAAACCACGCATGTAAAGCAATTAACTATTTAAAGAGGTTAGTAAACCCTTCCCCTGTAATGAAATACATGAACGTGTTAAATATATCAAAACTTAATTCGCTTCAAATATTAATATTTATGTATAAATATAAAAACAGGTTGCTGGCAAAAAAAAAAAAAAGTGTTTTCTGATATTTTTACATCAGCATTTTTACAAAAATACAATCCTCGGTCAAATAACAACCATAACTAATACTTGAGCAAAGTAAAATTGCAAGTATCAAAATTCTCAGTTATTAGCAAAGGCCCGTCATTATGGAATCAATTAAAAAATAACAATATAAAAAATTTGAAAAGCATTTTCTCTTTTAAACGACAAATGAAACTGCATCTCCTTAATTTCTGACATATATGTAAGTATGTTTATATATGTGTATGTATGTATATATTAGTTTTTCTTTATTCTTCACGTAGTATTTAACAGATAAAATATTCTATTGTAAATTTTCTAAAGCTATGGGGGCTTTAAATGATACTGTAAAGGGGCTCTGTGAAAAGGTTGTGGTGACACCAGTCATCCGTATCTTCTTTGAGCCCCTGTCTGTTTTATAAATATTCTTTGTGTAACTTAAAAGTTTCATTGTGATTTTATTATTTTATTTTTATATAAACAGCGAAATATATTAAAATAAAAAAAATAAAAAAAAAGCAAATTTCTGAATACTTCTGGTAATAGTTAAATACGATGATTCTGGTGGCATAACAAACAAAGTTCTGTGGATCCAGCTCTTTCTAGTAAAAAAAATATTGTGTTCATTTTGTCTTCTTAAAGCTGAACAACCACATAGAGGTAGAGTTCCCTTAAAAACTACGCAAATTTTGAAAATGGAGTACATCCTTTGCAGGTCAACTATTTGAATTTTTTTTTGTGATTTGAAAACACCTATTATAGGGTTTTTCTTTCCAGGAAGTCGTTATCCTAGTTTTAGCATATTTAGTGAGAATTAAGAGTACATTACATTAGGTAAAATATGCCTCCACAAGCTCACTTAGAATAGCCAGGAATAAAGATAATGTTTATACTGATCTTCTTTAACTATGTATTGGTAAAATGGTTATAATTGGTAACTTTCTGTTCATTTTGTACTTATAATCTCTAATCAAGTATGTATATTCATTATTTTTAGTGTTTAAATAAAATAATAGTATGGGAAAACCGCAATTTAATTTTAAGATTTCTGCTGGTAGAAAAAGAGGTAGAACAAAGACAAAGCCAGAAACTCCAGCTGAAGCAATAGTTTACAGAAAAGACATTAGAGCTAAAGAAAATTAAATAGCAGAGGCAGTAGATTGGTGCACAGAAAATAAAAAACGAGGACAGGCAGCATTAAAAAAAGGAAAGTTTCGTTTAATTAAAGATCGTGGTACAATAGACAGAAGATTAGATGGCAAAGTTAAGAAAGTAAAAAAGGAACATTTGAAAGTGTTACATCCAGATGATGAGAAGGAAATAGTTTGTTTTATCAGAAACAAAAATAGAGCCCACCTGGGACTCTTTTAGAAAGAAGTTTCTGAAATTATTTTGGATGCTCTGAAAATCAGAGATCATTTAAACAAAAATGGAAAAGGTGGAAGAAAGTTTATAATATATATTACCAAGTGCAAAAACATGCCTACAAAATGTAAGGTAAGTAAGTTTTTTCTTTAAACTAATTTTTCAACATTCAAACAGGTACAAGAGTACAGTAGATATTAAATAGATGTAAAATACTGAACCTTATTATCCAAACTATTTAGACTCGGGAAATCATTTTGGAGAAGATAGCATGCTGAACATGATGATATTGCCATTAAGAGGCAAGGCCGAATTAAAATTAACAGAGCCCTAAACTGTACTAGGGAGATGGCTACTGATCATCTAGGTACACATTTTTTTATCACATATTGTTTTTTTGGTTTAGTCTGAATATAAAAAGATCTATTTTCATTTTCATTCTCAAGCGTTTTACAACTTGGTTTTTATTCCTGAATAAGTTTATATGTTTTTTACGTTAATAATTTATGTAACTTGATTATATTACTAATTTTACAACTTTTTTTATTCCAGATGCTTTAGCTGATGAACCAATTGCTTGTATAATGAAGAACTATAAAAAAATAAAAAATGGTGTATGGGTTGGTGATATTACAGCAGAAAGAGTTTTCAATCATGATGAAACACCACAGTTTGTCAACTACAGTGTAGATGGTACTGCCACTGGGTTAGTTTATGCTGGCAAAGGAGAGACATGTAAAAAAATAATTCGCGAAAACAGAGAGTGCATAACTATAAACCCATCTGTTTCATCATCAGGTGAGCCAACTAAACAACTTTTTTCAACTAAAGTTGTGGCTTTTATAGTTTTATATTTTAAAAAGTGAAATATAATATTTATACTTTTAGGGAGGTTTCATTGTGTCAGGTAATATTTGCTGGCAAAGGGATAACCAGCCAGGTGGCACCACAAAAAGCTGTCAGTAACATCAAAAATTTGATCATTTCCACGACAGAGAGTGGTTCGCAAGATAACTGTTCATTATTGGCTGCGTATAAGAAACTTGATAAACATCTCACCAAACAAGGTATAGAGCGACCATTTGTGCTTCTATCAGATGAACATTTGTCGCGATTTGACTTTAAAGTTCTAAATTTTTTGTGTGAAAAGCAAATTAATTTATTTGTGTCTCCGCCTGATACAACTGGAATCACACAGGTACTAGACCAAGCACCAAATCAACAGCTCCATCAATATTATAATAACACCTGAGATGTAATCTTTTCCTCTTTCCAGACAATAAATCAAGAAAGGTTCATGAATATCCTTGGAACAATGTGGAACAATTGGGCATCCGCTGCCAATATTGTAGCAGCTGCTAAGAGAGTTGGTATAAGTAAGAATGGTTTTAATGTTGATGATATGCAACAGGATAAATTTGAACAAGCAGCTCTCCTTAATGATAAAAGAAATGATGTTTCTCTTGAACCTTCTACTCCTAAGAAAACAAGAAGTGTGACCTCAAAAGACGGACCCTTGGCAACAACTCCAAGATCACAATCCAAAGTCGCCCAATCAAAAAGAAGGTATGGTTCAGCCGAATATTGGAAATCAATGTATAAAACGTCACAATCATTCATTGAGGAATCATATGAGAAAAGCCTCAATTTAGCAAAAGTGCCTGGTTTACTCTCAGTAAACCGGGTAAAACCCAAGGAGGTTAATCAAGGAAAAACAACTAGAGTCACTAATGTGCATAGATCTATGGAGGCTTAAGGTGTGCTTTCAAAAGTGACTTTTCTTGAAGAAGAAAAGCAGAAAAAAATCATGATTCAGAGGAGAAAAAGAAACAAAAGCTTAAAGAAAAAGAACTGTTTTATCGTTGCAAACACAATGCTCTTGTGTAGAAGTATGTCTTGCAAAATCTTTAAAAGAGTGTTCGCAATGTCATTCCATTCTTAAATCTGTATGTAGTAAAATGGCTTATCGCATTGATAAAAATAGCCGACAATGATTCTCCCTGCATCTGCAGCATCATCCTTTGATTCTTAAAAAAAAATCATTCTATTTTGGTTCTGATTCAAATAAATCTTAATGACTCAAAGATATTTCTTTAGATGAAATGTTTGTTTACTGCATGTCTCTTTTTCAAAATATTTTATGCTATTCATATTTTTTTGTGATTTTATGTTATTCAAAAAATAGTTATTGTTGTTATTAAAGCTGTTATTGTGTTGAATAACTTTAAACAATGTATATTTTGAATAATAGGAAATATGAAAAATGATAAGAAAATACTTTTCTTATTATTTTTCTTATTTCCTATTATTCAAAATATACATTGTTATTGTATTAAAAGCTAGATTTCCTATTTTAAAGCTAGTGACCCCTTAAAAACTACATCCATAGCACTGCTAAAAAATACAAAATAAACATCTTTAAGAGTTTGTAAATTAGTTAATATTACATTGGTGGGTTAGAACAAGTATAACATTATCTAGAAATAAGATAATTGCAAACTTAAAATTAAACAATTAAACTGTAGGAGGTCATAATGCATAAATTGAGCCATTTTTAAAACTAATAATTTGATTTGCATTCTCTTTTTGAGGAATTTAAAATTATAAAAGAGGTAAATTTTTAATTAACTTGTCATCTAGGACGTTTAGAGATACTGATTCAATCATTATTTAATAATTTCATTGTCATTAGTGGAGCCCAGAGCTGAAAGTTTATATGTGTTGTGTTTAAGGGGGTATGTGTTTTTAAGGGAACTCTACCTGTATTGCACAATTTTCACCATACATATCAAGAAAAGCAATTTCAATGAAAACACAAAACAACTTGGTAAAATAACAGGCAAACGCTAACAACAACAATCATTCTGTGCGGGTTCGGACGTCCGGAAATGTTTGTATTTGTGTGTGTGTGTGTGTGTGTGTGTGTGTGTGTATGTGCATGTGTGTGTGTGTGTGTGTGTGTGTGTATATATGAGTGTGTGTGATATACCCCCCCCCCCCCCCCACTACTACCACCACCACCACCATTAATTATTTTTTCGTTCATTTAGTCGGCAAACTTGACCTTTTGACAAGTTAGTCGGTGAATTTAAACAACCAGTCGGCTGATAAATAAAATGATAAATAAAATGATAAATAATGTAGTGGCATGGTAGTATGTCCCAGGCAGCAGATGTCAATGGGGTGCCAAAGAAAAGTCACGTAAAAAAAGGTCCTTCACTGATATAGAAAAATTTTTAATAATAGTGCCGCCAATCAGGGTTTTTCTTAGGCGACGTGATGGTTCTCCATGCCCCAAGGGACCCCCACTCATAAACATCTCAAGAAACTTTCCCTTTATAGGTATTACTAACAGCGTATATATAAGCATTAGAACAGCGAGTTAAGGCTGGCTGCTCTTCCAGTTAGGAGTGAAGTTGCCTGGAGAATCCTATCCACTGCTATGATCAATATATCAAAAAAATGTTTTATTTTAGGGAACTTTTTTATAAAAAGCCTATTTAAAATTCGCGTCACTTTTAGTGACACCTAAGTAATGCCTAGACCATCCTCAAAACAAAAAAGCGAGGCTTAAAAATTATTTTATTTTTTAACCCTTTTGTTTTCTTTTAAAAAAAACAAATCCTTTCATTTTCTAATACCTAAACCTTGAAAAACTAATATAAATTTAATTTTATAAATTTATATAAATAAAGTTCAAAAAACATGAGTTACACTCAACATTTTTTTTTTAAATGCTTGGAACAAATTATTTGCTTTTGGTAACATTTCTATAATTTTCTTTCCTACTCTGATCTTTTGTAAGAATAAAGTTTTTTTGAGTCTTGTTTTGATTACTGACTTAACTGCACATTCAACTGACTGAGAGTTGTTTGGAAAAAATGTAAAACCTCTCCAGATTCTTTTTGCGTTCATCAGTTCAACGGATGAAAAATAATAAAATGTAGTAGGAGGTTCCACTTAAATTTAGCAGATTTAAACAAGATTAATCCAGCAGTTACAATCAAAAATTATTGTTTGGGGTTTAATCTTGAAACAAATTCTTTATTTTTCTCATTTAGCTCCCTAATAATGAGTATTCAATCTATGGCTTTTTCGCGATTTACTTCCTCATCATCCATTATCATGCAATAGAGAAAACTCTCCTCTAAACAGCAAAATGAATTTCCAGCTAAGTTTTTAAAGACGACTTCTTGTATTTTTTTATTTTACAATTTGGTCAACTCAATCGTTTTAAACAGAATTTTTGCTGAATCTTTATAATGACCTGATCGTTTATAGCAAACCAAATTAAAAAATATACTTGGTCTATATACTTCGTTATCATAACCAACTCTGCCGATGAATTTGTTTCTCTAGTATATTTGTACATACTCCGTAATGAAAGTGTCAACCACCTTGCATGGTTCACCGGTCCAGGTTTTGTCATTGCATATTTTTTTGAAACTTTACCTGTAGATATACCAATGGTGTATTCATATAATTTTATTTGATCATTACTTAAATCAGAAACAATATGCTCATCCACAAATGCCTGAACTTCGGAAATTATTGTAGAAAAATCTATTATAGGGAGTTCGTGTGTGGAATTTTCTGAAACCAATAAACAAACTGGACCTATATATTTCTTTGGATCATTTGTGTTTCCATTAAGTAGAATAATTACTTGTCTTAATAGCAATTCACTTTGGTTTAGTTGACATCCAATTAAATGTAATTTTCTATTTTTAATTTTTCTAACTTAATAACGAGACCTTTGTCTGTGCCAGTATTTGAACCGTATTGTAAAGAACCGCAGCTTCGTGAGTTTTGGTGTTAAACTCATTTAGAACTTCTTTACTTGGAAACTCCAGTTCCATTTGTAATAATTTTATGAGTTAAATATATTTTATCTTTGCTCCAATTTCTGCAGTAAACGTTAATTTTTTTTTTTTTTTTCAGATTTTTATTTTTAATATTATAATTAAAAATAAAATTATTAACTATAAAAAAAATATATATATATATATATAATATAATATAGTTACAATATTACTTTTATAAATTATAAATCTTTTGTTGATTATAATTCAATACTGCAAGAAATGTATTATTAAACATAAACACATGTTTAAATTAAGATATTTACTAAATATAAATATATATATATATATATATATATATATATATATATATATATATATATATATATATATATATATATATATATATATATATATATATATATATATATATATATATGCATATGTATATAAAAGTATCCGGACATATTTAATTTTCCGGATTAGTTAGAAATTAGTCCGGATGACCCAAAAAAAATACAGTAACTAGTTTTTTTATAAAATCTGGAGATTTTTCTTTTGAATATAGAAATATAAACAAAAATTTAATGTCTTGTGAAAAAATCAGCTCAATATGATGAATGCTTCTTTATTTATAAGCATATTTCCTCATTTTGTATTGGAGCGACGTATTGTGGGCCGGCGCTCAAGCCACACAGTACGTCGTTTTTTTTTCGACTTAAGCTACGATAGATACTAAAAATTACTTTAATAAGAATTGTTTAATTACTTTGAAAATTAGCGGAAACATTTCATGTTAGTTAGTATTTAGAGAGATGTAGACATGTATTTATCGATTTAGTCACATTCCGCATCGCATAACTGTGAAACAAATGAAGCATGAGCTAGGTTTAATTTCAGACTTACTGACAGCTGAGAGAGCTTTCTCACCAAGCTTTCTCAAAATTTGACACCTGGTTTTGATGCAACAACACAGGAGAGTGTTCATGTAAATGTTGTATACTTGACAACAGAAACAGTATGCAAGGTTGTAGCTATAGATAAACTTCCTGGAGTTACAGCTTACAACTACCAAATTCACATTAAAAAGTTTGTTGATAATCTTGCCAAGATATATAGTGACTTCAACCAGCTACAACTCACTGATGTGCGAAGCACTATAATTGGAAACATAACTAACACGATGAGTGACAGAATAACAACCATGCAACAGTTACTAAATTAAACCTTGTTTGGCAGAAATCATTAAATGAACTAAACTGTCACCTTCACCCTTTGGACACATCGACCAGTTTTATGCAAGTCTTCACTCAAAGCATAAGAGACCTCTAAAGGGAAACTTTTCGGAAGAGACTGCATTGCAGCAAATATTGTTTTATAGCTAAACGAACTTCGCTATAAGGATGCAAAAGGTACATATGTAATCTTAATCACACTTTTTTACTTTAATACAATGTAATTTTGTGAATTATGATGTATAAATCTAAAATATTTTTTATTAGCATATAAATGTTTCTAATTTCACATGTTTTTTATGCTCTTTAAAGTAATTAATTTATATTATTTAAAGGTGACCCAAAGGGTTTTGTAGCCTTTTTTGACCAACACAAGCTGCCCAGAGGACTGCTACCGCGCTATAGAGGGAACAGACTACACATTCGTTTTCGCACAAGTGCTATTTTGATTCATCACTATGAAATTGTAGACATTCTGGATTAGCTTTATACGGAGGTCTGAGATATAGTTGGTTCCAAGATTTTACATCTGAAACAGGTGAATCTTTTATATGATTGTTTCCATTGTTGTACACATTCAGATCTTAAATTGATAGGAAAGGGAGCAATATTTAAGGCTATGTAATAAACATTTAAAAGCAATAGTAATAATACTTGCAGCAATAGTTAGGATTTATAATTTATAACTTGTTACAAATTATAAATTTATGGATGCTTTTACATTTTTACAAAGTTTTCTTTAAATAAGCGATAGCCAAGAGTTTGATGCTTTTCGGTTCTTCTTTTTATCTACAGATTGTTTTTTCTTGTAAGAGTAAGATACATTTTATTGATATTAATCGATGAAAGTTCAATGAGAATTCAAATTAAAAACATGTGCCAAAGAAGAAAAAAATTTCCGCAAATTTCCGGGGATTATAAATTATTAGAGACTAATATTATGGTTTATTTATAAATTTTTTCAGGTATCTGTGAGTTATGTGCCCTGGTTTTAATTTTAAAGCTACTGACTGCTCCTTGGATGACAAAATTATATATTGCACCAGGTCAGGGACTAGACTACATATCTGGCTTTCAGGTAGTCAAAGATGTTCGGAACACTCTTTTTGAAAGCAGCAAGGATCCTCTAAATCTAATTAAATGAAAAGCTGATTTTTTCGGAAATATTATTAAAGATCCTGTTTTTGATTTAATAATCAGTGTTTGCCCAGTAACTGATGAAATGAGTAAAACACTAGTTGAATGTCTGAAAGCTGTTATTAGTGTTATTGATAGGCATTACAAGCGATATTTCGACATGAGTTTTAATGATCAAATTATGAAGCAGACTAAATCAGCAAGGCTTTACAACATTGACTCAGAGGAACTTATGGGTATGTTTAGTGCTGCAAAGCAAAAAGCTCTAAATGCCACGCTTTGTTTTCTTTCTTCATTAAATTGTGCTTCTAAAAATAAAACAATTGCTCTCTAAAAAGCCTACTGATATTCGAAACAAATTAATATTACGAGCTACTTCTAATGGCAGAACAAAATCGATTTGCGAATGCACAATGCCATAAAAAAATGACATCAGAATTAATAAAGCGTATGGCTGACAAAATTTAAAATATAAAGGACAAAGTACAGAGGAAAATTTAAAAACTTGTATGCCTAATCAGATAAAAGAAATGTTTCCTGACCTAGAAAATAATGAGGCTTCTTAAGTTGAAGAAACTCTTATTGGAGCTGGTATTGGAAGATGTATTTGCCACTTGTGGTTTCATAATGCCACTAACAGCGAAGATGTATATTATGGTAGACTTCTTAGCATTAAAAAGAAGAACAGTGCTATATACATAGTTTCTTATTGGAAACCAAATGAGAATGAGAATGTTGATGCAGTTGAGTTTTAAATAAGTAAATACCAACTATCTGTAGACATCATAAGTGGTAATATCATAAAAAAATGATATGAAAACTGATTGTAACAAGGTATGTTTTAGTGTAAATCATAATATGGTTAATATACTTGCATTAATAATTTTTATTTACAGATATTAGGTTAGTGTCTTGGTTAGCAATATTTTTTAATGCTTAATGTGTATATTATGCCTCCTCACCCTCTTTTTTTGTTGTTGTTGATAAAAATATAAGATTTATAATTCTTTCATTGATTATTTTTATGTATCAAATCTTATTTTAGGTAGTCGAGTAGTTACTGACATCCAACAACCAAGGTTAAATTGGTTGCAAACTGCTATGGAAACAAAAGCAGACCCAATTACCTGGCTTTTGATATACTGTTTCAACTTAGAAAGCTAACTTTTTGTATACATGGACACCAATTGATTTTTAATTTAATTTCTTACAATTTCAAAATTTGATTTTTAACAATTAAAGAAAAAAAAAAACACGTAATGTTTGCATAGAAATATCAGAATAACATACTGCAGTAGCGCATCGCACGAAAATATATCTATCAAGACCGCGCTCTTTAAAAAAGTCTGCCTCAATGCTGTCTTTCATTTTTTTGTCTGCCGTTCAACACACAGCTTCTTCAACAGTTTACTAATAATTCTAAAAAAAAGTTTAGTCATGAGGCTTATCATTTTTTTTGGCATCAAAGATAACGCCTCTTTGTTGCTATTTCTTTTCCACGCTATCGTCTGCCAATAATTTTCCGCGTTTCGTAGCAACAAATATTTTACTTATCAATAATTTTTATTCATGAGCATTATCATTTTTTTTTATTTATAATTTGTCATCTTTGACTCTCCATCCCCACCTTAATCTTCCTAATTGCGCTGGCAGACTGGCCTCTCGGTGTTTGGGAGCGCTAATGGCACCTCTCTAGGTATTCATATTTCATGTATCTTATACCTTGCTTTTTTATGTAGCTAGCTCTCCGTCTATTACTTAAACGCGCTTATAATATATGCGTCAATAGACATAGCATAAATGGCGTTTAAAAGTGGTTTGAGGTATTGCTTGTAATTTAAATCACTTTATATTTTAGTTAGCTAAAATGGCGCTTTTTTTAGTGTGTTTTTAAATTGTAATAATACACTTTTTTTTTTTATTGCTACTTTTATGATTATCTTTACTCAATATATATTTGCAAATACCCCTGAGAGTATAATAAACATTATAAACGTTATTTACAATATAATATACGACGCGCCCACAACATTTCTTCTGACGCAACGCAATATAATTAATTACAACACCCCTTGATCTCTAGATCACAAAGTCCGCATACTTATTCGGAAATTTGCACACACGCGTCGATTTTCTGAGATTCAGGTTATCCGCAATGGGTTCTTCCGATTCTTTAGTAGACGACTCAGCGACAATGGGAGCAGGACGGACGTCCAACATGTGTCCCGGAAACCACTGATTTCTACCGAAACTCCTCGTCTTTCATCTGAGACTCTTCTTCTGTTTCATTCGCTCGTAGATTTTGAGTCAGGTGGTTTTACAAATAATTCTTATCTTTGTGTATAGTTGTGGAAAACTTCCTCGTTAATTTTGGTAGAAATTGTATGTGGTTTCCACTCATAGGAAAATATAGCTTTGTAAGGGAGCGATGTTTCCTCATTATTTTTATCTGGGAGCCACGTTATATCAATAAATCATTTTTAACGGATCTTTGCTACTTCTGGCTGCCATACGCTTGATTGTGCGATAATGACGTTCAACAATTCCATTTCCAGATGGCCTGTAAGCGCAATGAAACAGGATGGACACTCCCCATTCTGTGCATAATTCACCAACGAGTTTTGAGCAAAAGGCCTTGTTATAATCAAGAAGAACTTGCCACGGAGGTCCTCTTTCTCGGAACATTTCTTTTAAAAGGAAGCACACAGTTGTTTTTTTTCTCGTTCTGTAGCTTCCTCCAAATTGCAAACTTGCTCATTTTACCACAGTCAATAATAGATAAATAAATCTCTGATTTATAATGGATAACGTCAATAGCTAAACGGTACCAGCTCTTTCCAACTTCAAGATTTCCTTCTTCCCATCTAATTGGCGCAGAATCCACCGATAAACATCTTTCGCAACTTTTTACGACTGATTCAATGTCTTTTCTACAAACTTTTATTTTCTGATGACTTTACCAGGAAAAATTTTAATTGTATACCGCATTCCTTCACAAGGTTTTCAATTAACAACAACCGGCGACGGACAAGTGATTCTCCAAGACCGTGTACTCGAACGGGTTTATCACCGAGTTTAATCAGCCGACAACAGTAGCTGAGTCACACTTTATGGTTATAGGTTCGAATCCCCATTTTGTTGCTAGATTAATTCCTTTTATCACAGCTTCTAACTCTGCGAGATTAATGTGAGCCGCATCATCTTGTTTCCTGAACCACGAATAGTCTTCTATTATTTCCTCAACCACTTCCAGGACTACGCCAACAGCTAATCTGCTTGCATCGCACCACACTGTTGCTTCAGAAGTGCTTTTGACGTTCCATGACCCATGAACGGGATCTTACTTTATAAGTCTTTCATTTAAACTGCTTACTAATTTGACAACACGGTCGTTCACTAAAGAGTCCCATCCACAACTAATTGAAACGCTTTTTAGATAGCTGCACGAAAAGGGAAACCAATTTGCTATTGGAAAATATCCGGTCAGCTGTCCGCAGCAAGAAATGATTTGCCGACGTGTCATTTTTCCTTCAGGAACTTTGGGTATGTTGTCACGTTTTCAACGGACTTGCTTGCATTATTTGTACACTAGCAATCCCAGCACACGCCCACCGACAAATTTTTCTGGCAACTTAGAATCCAAAACAAATTTTTTCAAGAGTTCTTGAACTCTGCAACTTAACAATATGTTATTATTGACAATGATGTCATCAATAAATGAATCCGTCCCAGAATCGACAACTTTTTCTAAGGACAATAACTTTTTTAAGATTTTTGTCATTATTCTAGGCGCCACATTTAAACCAAAACCCAATCTTGTTAGACAAAAACGCTGCCCTTCATATTCCACAACTTGATATTTCCATAATGCTTCGTTGACAGGAATCTGCAGGTACGCTTTCTTTAAATCAATTATCTCAAGATTTTCTTCCAACTTTCTCCAGTTGCAAAGTTTGGTATTGCAAACATCGCCATATTCACTATGACTGGGTTCAAATTGATTTAGCTCCCGGTATTCCATCACCGGACGTACTTTTACTTTGTTTTGTTGAATTACTGCCATCAACGGAATGATGCCATTACATTTCCCTTCAAATGGTTCCAGCCATCCTTGTGCTATCCATTCACTTATTTCCATTGCGTACTCACTTTTAACATCTTAAGAAATGCGATAGTTTGGAATTTTGTTTGTTAAAGTTGGTGGTTCCATCAGCCATTTCTAAGACACGCTCCAACTGCCATTTTTGAATTCTGCTACGAAGTCTTTATCAATCAGCTTTTAAATAGTAGGCGAGGATACTTCATTCGCTTTTTTTTTCGCTGTCTCTCCCGACTTGGACACCTCCAAGCAGTCGTATTGCGACCATACCAAGTAGCATTTGATATTCGGGAACAATGACGGCATCCAGGCATTCCAAATCAATGGTGGTATCGTTTATAGAAAGATTACATCAGTCTGGTATTTTACTTCAATTGACTTTCCATTCATCATGAAAACCTTTTCTCTTGCGTGTTTATTTTTCTTCCGTTGACATATACGCAGAGAGTTGGTGGTTTTAAATTTTGTGGGAAGCCGCTTGCACAAAAACGGTTGGCTTCCCTTCCATGTTTTTTGAGTTCGTACACTTTTTATAGCAGTGCTGGACCAGGTTATTGTCCATTTCACACACAAAGCACCTTTTCTTCTCAATTTTTTTGCTACAGTTTCGACTGATATGTCCATCCTCGCCGCAACGGTAGCACGTTATGCTCTTTTTTCTGCGTCCTTTAGGAACCTGTCTTCAACTAATGGCAACAGGGTTCATGCAACTGACAAAACACATTTCTTTGCGACGTAAGATCACCAAACTTCTTGATTTTTTAGCGATCTGGCACAGCGACATTGTTAATAATGCGCACCTTATCCATTCTTCTCTTACGTGAGATGATATTAGCTTGCTCAGTCTTGTTAATTCTGCGAGATATACGTCAACGGACTTGTTCTCTTTAAGACGGCGATTTACGAACTTTTCGTATGCTGTTAGCTGAGAAGCAGAGAAGACAGTAGTCAGTGCGGTTTTCACTTCATTTCAGTCTTGTTTTATATCATCACTTAGAACTTGATAAACGGCAAACGCCCCGCCAGAAAGAAATAAGGGGAGCACCACATGCAGCTCGTCAACTTTTTAAAGTTTTGCTACCAGTTCCAATTTCTGCATCCATTCTGAAAAATCACCCGAACCATCGTACTGTGACACCAAATCCGCAAACTTTATAACGATACTCATTGCCAAAATAGCTTGTAATAATAAATCTATATACTTTTTTTCTTACTACTTTTATGAATATCTTTACTCAATATATATACATTTGCAAATATCCCAGAGGGTATAATAAACATTATAAATGTTATATACAGTATAATATACGACGCGCCCACAACATTCCATCTGACGCAACGCAATAATAGTTTATATATAAAACAATTATTTACACTAATTACATAAATTAATAATTAATTTAAAAAAAAATTATTTTCCAGGTTGGTAAGTTATCTAAAATTGGTGGACTAAGTGTAAAAGAAGCTGTTAAAAATATACTAAAAAGGTTAGTAATTTTTTTGCAAATTGTTTAAATTGAAAATATATATAAACATTTTTTATGTAAATACTACATATAAATACAAATATTAAATACTACTAAAAAAAAATTATAAATAATAGCTATGCTGTTGTAATTTGATTTTATTATTATTTCATTAAATGTTTTAAAAATGCAAGTGTATGTGTGTGTGTGTGTTTATATATATATATATATATATATATATATATATATATATATATATATATATATATATATATATATATATATATATATATATATATATATATATATATATATATATACATATATATATATATATATATATATATATATATATATATATATATATATATATATATATATATATATATATATATATATATATATATATATATATATATATATATATATATATATATATTCTTTGACACCAGATCTATATGCAAGTGAATGCTTGAAAAAACGACTTCTTCCTCTAGTTAAAAAGCACAAACAAACGATATCTTCCTCTAATTAAAAAGCACTAATAATTAACCTTATTTTGGCCAGATCTGGCAACGATCTACTATTCCAAAAAAGTAATTCAATGGTAATTCAATGGTATAAGAAAAAAAGAGTTAATTTTGTTCCAAAAGATGCTAATCCACCTAACTGTCATGAGCAGCGAGTTATTGAATCTTACTGGGCAATTGTGAAGGGAATATTGAGGAAAAGAGGCAAATATAGAAATAGTGTTAAAAAATGTGGCGCAAAGTAAAATTGTGGTGGCGATTGTGGGTACTTTACAAAAAATTAAATTACTTGCACGTCGCAAAGTAAAGGCTATAATAATTTTTATTAAAATAAAAATTAGTTACGTAAGCATCATTGTAAAAATAAAATCATTACAATTGGTTACGTTGTCTTTGAGAAAACTCCATTTAAAAATCCAAATTTCAACCGATGATAGTGATCATAGTCTCATTTTAAATGTTACTAAAAATTTAGATAGTTAAAAAATGTAGGAAATAGTCCTTATTTCAACCGATCATAGTGATAATATTAGATTTAAGTATGTTTTTTTATTTTTAAAGAAGCATACCACACCTGAAATTCAGGGAATTCTAGAATTTATTTTATAGAAATATTGGCGGGGCAATCAAATTTCATGGCATCCTGCATAATGATTTGCTTTTTTCAGGCAAAATATGATATGTACTCTGTGCATTAAAAAAATTTTATTTAAGTTGATTTATTCACATGAAACACAATATGTATCTAATATTAATTAAAATAATTAGAATTAAATAATTGGTCTGTTGTTTTTAAAAAACAGCAGGCCTAATATTTAATACATTCAGGTTAAATAAAAAAATTCATATCTTACATAAGTAATACAATGTTTAAAAACTAATTGGCTCTCAGGACTCTTGTTTTTTTTTCTTTCTGTAATAAGATTTTTTTTGCGCTATGGTAATGTCGCAGTTTAAAAATATATTCACATCTGAAAATGGTTGATTAGCTGTCCTGAGTTATTGACACTCGCAAAGGTTTTTAAATTCCTTTAAATATTTTAAATATATAGGTTTTTATTGCAAAAAATTCTATAATGGTTTGATTTTATTTGTTAAGAATTTATGTCTGATTATGTACTAATAATTTCTGTGTCGTATATAAACTCGTGACCTCTAATGTTTACATTTTTAAAAATTGTGGATTGATAAGTTCAAATTTGTCTCTTTGTTGAAACATTTTGTAAGTAAAAAACCATAACTATTTTAATTGCTTGTCTTATACTTTTTTTTTAATCAAAAATATCTCCTTTTATATTTGAAGACTAAACTGGGGCAACAAATTTATTACGTGACTGTACAAATACTTCATATTGTAACTTAACTAAATTTGTGTTTTAAAGTGCAAAAAGTTTTGGTATTTTTTCCAAGATTGAATTTGCTTTTGAGATAGATGATATAGTCGTTAATTTACAGTTTAATTAGGTAGATCATTCGAAAACTAAGTCTATCTCTAAAATAGTTTTATCAAATACTCTATTATATAATACATCTATTAGATAAGTGTGATTCTCTACCATCTATTAGATTGTGATTCTCATTTTTTGTTCCGTAAGCGTAACTAGGCATTTTTCAATATAAAGGTGGTATACCATCAAATATTTTCTGAAAATTAGTTCAAAAAAGTGACTTTTTAATATTTAGTTTATTATAAAGGCATATTATAGATTAATATTATAAAAAATTTGTTCATAACTTTTTTTTTTAATTTTTTGATAAATTAACTAACTAAAAGAAATGTATATAGGAATGACGGCAATATTTAATCTTCTATTGCGTTTTTCACCGTTTTCGAATTTTGCGAAACATTGTCTGATTGAAAACATAATATTTTGTAGACCAGAAGTGCAAATATTAAATCACTTTAAATTTTTCAGGAAATGTTTATTATACTATTTTCTAGTAAGTGACATTTTAAATTCTAGTAAGTGACATTTTAAATTCTTTAAATTCTGCTGCAATCTTTTTTTTTTAATTTTAAGGCCTGAAAAGGTTTTTTTTTATTACTTGATGTAAAAAGTTTATACAATTTTTGATGATTGTTAAAAATTTTAAAATCCAAATGTCAATATCTTACCATGCATGTCTAGAACATATGTAAATTATTTCATGGATTTTGTGTTGACATATATTAAGTTATTGTACTTTGAATTGACCCATTAAATGAATGTTTTTCAATAAAATTGAGGCAAAGTTATAGAGGGCAAGTAAAATGAAGTAATCATTTTTTTTTTAAATTTAAACAATTTTAAATGCTTGGTGGTGTACCACCATGTAGAAAATTAGGCATCTTTTAACCAAACGACAGATTTATTCAATACTTACTACATGCTTCTTCCTTGTATTCTGGCGAATTCGGTGTTGGTCCAGGTTTGATAAACAGGGTTGCTTGTACCAGATAATTTTATTTGGTAATTGCTGCCCAGAATAATATATTTTTTTAGCTGCTTTGATAGACATTGCAGATTTTTAAACTGATTCATGAACTCTGTTGATGTTATAACATCATACTGCTTTTGTTTTTTAACTTGTTTATTAATTTTCTTTCTTTAAACTTTGATTATTTTTTTCTATTTATATATCCATACAAAATGTTGAAAATGGTGAAGAGAGGAAAACGAAAGAAATTAGCTATAACGCTCGTAGGTATGTTTACCAGCTTAACTCGCCTTTAAGCTATCTACCTACAAACCAACTTCCATCAAATAGAATGTTCTTTGATATTATTTGTTCCTAATATCAACTAGAGATAAGCAATTCAAACCTATTAAAACAAACTTTTTATGTTCTCGAGCACGAGAGGGTATCATCTATCAGCCTGGTGCCTGTTATAGTGTAAGGTTTATGTCCTATGCAATGTACTTTCTGACGCTTGATATGACATCCACAGTCATTGAATATCTGACTTCTGAAAAGAAACATATGATCTCAAGGGTAGCATTTATTGCTGCTATTTATTATGGAGCTGCCTTTTTTAAATCAAGCAAAGCAGAGCATGCCGTTCTTAATGATTTTAATGCATTTAAAAGTGCTGAAACTATTAAAAAAGAATGGGATTATGAAGTTGGAAACTCACTTAAGAAAAACATGAGTAACCATACATGGTATTTGTTTCCTAAAGTTGTCGTACAATTGTTAGGTGATCCACATATGAAAGCAGATTCTAAGCGTTTAATCATTGAAAAACTTTTAAAATTTCCAGTTTCAGAGTTTTCTCTGGAACTGGAAATTTTAAAAGGTTATCAGAGATTTTCGTAAAAGCTTCTTCTACTGTTATTGTTACCAGTGATAGTTGATTAAAGAACTTAATTACGAAAGAGAGTTGCCTTTTTTTATATTTACAGGTCACACCGAATCTGTTCAAGAGTGGCATACTTCAAGTGATTTCTTAGCGCTAGATTCATTCACATTTTTCACCCAGTTAGTTTGCAATCTAAGTGTGACCAACGACTGCGCAGAAACAAATATTAGTTTAACTGAAAACTTTTTTCACAGTTTCCATATGAGGATAAGAGACAGAACATTCTTTTGATAATCAGAGAATATAGAAAGCTAATAAAAAAAGATATGTCTGTTAAGGAACTGAAAAAGCTGAAACCTAGAGTTGAAAAATTAATGTAAAATAATAGCTAACTGTATGAAACTATAAACAGTATTTTTTTCTACTAAGATCAAACAAAAGTTTAGTTATAAACATATTTTAAACCATAAAAATGAGATAAAGTTCAGCCAATCCTCAATATTTGAAAAATTACATGTAGCACTTCCAACAAACAAAATAAGTGAAATTTTGTATTTAGACTAACTGAATGTTGTAGAACAGGATAAGCAACTTTGGTTATTTATTTTCAAAAAATTTTTGACCCTACTTTGTGTCACTTTATTGCATAAAGCACCGAAGAATAACTTGATAATAGTAAAACTGAAACAGTATCGACCATATCAAGTTGTTCCTTTCGTTTTTTGTGACTAGCTTATTTTATTTTCTTGATAGTTTTATAAAATCCAATCCAAAATTTCAAGTTTATTGGGGGTGAGTTGAATTATAAATTTTTTTTTCAAAAGATGTTTTAAATAATTTAGTTAGATTTATCACAACAAATTAGATTTTGATTTTTACTAAAACAGAAATAATTTTAAATTTCTTCTTATAATAAATTTTTCTAGGAAGACTTGATAATTAATAATTTTTTTTATCCCAAAACTTTTTTTCACTTAATTTTTGAAAATAAATATAAAATTTGTGATATAAAATGGAAAGTATCAATAATTGAGTCATTCCAATAACTGTGACACTATCATATCTGTCTTTTTCGTGTTGACAGTCAAGAGTGCTGCATGATGAAGAAATAAAGAATATGAATAATCTTTATGCTCAAAATACACCTTGTAATTTTTCTTCAATATTTGTACATAAAATAGCTAAAATTGAAAAAAAAAAACAATTTTTTA